ACACGTCTCGAATTCATTCCAGTTTCTCCTTGCGCAAAACGCAGTCTCAAATTGGAGGAAAGAAAGAAGAATAAAAAGAAGAAAAAGCTAGGAAACTCGAATCAGGGAGATCAACCAAAGAATGTTGTGAAATCAATGTCGGCAATGTCAAAGTAGGATTCTCGCTTCTGTACTATCGAAGGCGGCCACAATTACTAACAACGATCGTAAGCAATTCGCTATCAACAGGGCCTTGCAATTTATACATACATATATATATATATATATATATATATTAATGTAATTATATACACACACTCATATGCACACATGTTTGGGAGGAAAATGTCAAAGTCAAATATTGATATAAAGTGATATACGATATTGATGTACAATTCAACAGTGCATCACGATAATAATAATAATAATAAATAATAATAAAAAGATGAACGTGTTGCATCATTGTTTTGTCATGTTTGGAAAAACGTGTCGTGTTGCATTCTTTGTTTTGTTAGAATATTAAAAAAAACACATACACACTCATGCACCATAAAAAATATAAGTCACAAATAGAATAATATAATAGAAAAGAAATTAGAAATGATAATAAATTGTTCTTATAGATTTAATGTGTGGTGTATATTTAAATTATATTTTCAAAAAATATAATTTCTTAGTTTTTGAAAGATATATATTAAAATTAAAATTTGCTAAAATTACTTTAAATATAAATCTATAAATAAATATATAAATAAAGAAATAAAAATTTATTATTTTATCATCAAAAATATTATTAAAGTATCAAAATAATATTAAAATTTATATTAAAAGCAATATTATAAGCTTATTAAATATATGCATGTATCCATCTATAAATTTATTTAATATTTTTAGCCAATTTATATATATATATATATATATATATATATATATATATTTCAATAATAGAAAATATGGAAAGAACTTAACATGTAAGATTGATATTGCCAAGACTATGAATCTTGATAAAACCGAAAAGACAATAATTCCTATGTCTTTAACAGAAAATATATATATAATAAAAAGAGAAATAGTTATAAAATAGAAAAGAACTAGAATGGTTTTTTCCATATGTAAAGTGACTAGAGAGTTTTGAATTAAAACTAAGATATATGAAAGTATTAATAAGATTGTGGATGGCCAAAATCTTATCTCTATAAATACTAACTACAAAGAAGGTCTTATAGAAGCTTTGTAGAGACAAGAAGGCTTGTAGCTCAAATATTATTTTTTAATTTTCTTTTATAGCAACTTTCTAAAAGTTAAAAACTTACAAGTTAAGTCACACTAATTAAATGGCATATCTATAGAAGTCTAAATATCTAATTTGCATCTAAAATACTTCTTCAATGCTTCTTCAAAGAAGATATTATCTTTTCAATTTTTTCTACATATATTCACTTATTTTTATTTACTTATATCTACTTAAGTAATATGGACATCCGTTGTTGTGTTGTAACATGACTATTAGATAAAAGAGAAAAAAAAGATTATATTATAGAAGATATTATAAAAAGTTACTTTAGAAGTATAAATAATAGTCAAGGAGGTAGTAAAACTAATAAGTGCTATTATTGCTTCATTACAAAATGAGCTTCTATTTACTTTGTACAACCATAAATGAAGTAATGTATAGTAGATAAATATATATATATATATATATATATATATATATATTTTATATCTTAAAGAAGAAAGTAAGTATTTTTTAGCAAAAATTATCTTAAGAAACTTAGAATTGATACCCAAAGAAGACCAATTGTGAACAATGGTCAAAATTAGACTTGAAGGCATAAAATCACACTCCCACTATAATGTTTGGATTCTTTATTTTATTGAAAAGTAAGATTTGAGAGCAAATAAGAGTGAGGTTCTTTAGGTAGTGATTTAGAGAAATTTGATTTTATAATGACTTTGCAAAAGCTTTTCAAATCCAAAATTGTTTTGAGGTGACTTTGATTTTTTGAAAAATATAAAGGGTTTATACTTTAGAAAATTTTGTGTGATTGTTAAATAATCTACAAATAGATTTTTTTGGTTTTTTAAATATAATTGTGTTATATTTTGTAAGGTTGAGCTTGATCAAATAATTTATTTGAAGGTTATTAAAATTTAAGAGTATTGAGGTTTAAAAAATTGGAGTTTGGATGACCAATGATGGTTTTTAAGGTTTTTAGGAATCTATCAATTTGATTGAGTTAAAAGTTTACATACTACTATCAAACTTGATTTCCAAAAATTGTGAATTTTTTAAAAGCAATTGAATCGAGAAATTAAGAAATATTGTTATCAAAAGATTGGTATCAAGGTTGGACAAAAATGCATTTTGATACCCAAATAGATTATGAAATTAAACTTTTATTTGGTAACTTTAATCTACTTCAAATTATTTGTGCTTGTTTTTAACTAAGTAATGAAGAAGTTTAAAAATTTTGAATTAAAAGAAATTATTAAATTATTAGTTATGAAGTTTTAATCTACTATAGGATTTGGTTAGGATTTGTTTAGAATTTAGGATTTTATTAAGATTTTGTTATAATTTCTTTAGGTTTTAGGATTTTATTAGGAATTGATTAGAATTTTTTTAGGGTTTAAAGTATCATTAGGATTTTAATAAGATTTGGTTTAGGATTTAAGATTTTATTAGAATATTATTAGGATTTGGTTTAGGATTTAAAATTTAATTGGAATTTTATTAGGATTTGATTTAAAGTTTAAGTTTTTATTAGATTGTGATTAGAATTTGTTGAGGATTTTGAGTTTCATTAGGATTCTATTAAGATTTGGTTTAATGTTTAGAATTTGATTAAGATTAGATTAAAATTAGATTAGAATTTGGTTAGGATTTGATTTTGATTTAATTAATATTTAATTAAAATTATTTTAGAATTAGATCAGAATTTAATTAGTATTTAATCAAAGTATATTAAATTTTATTTAAGGATTATTTTTAAATTGATTGGAATGTAATAAGATTTATTTAGGATTTTTCTAAGTTTTATAGAAAGTACTTAAGTTAGTTGTTAACTTACTTCTATTATTTAAGGATGCCAAAGGGTGTTTCTAAATACTTTATGCATTATTTTGGGTTATACATCAAACTTCAAAGTAAATTTAAATTCTTCTACAACTTGATACTTAGTGCATTCTAAGGTTAGTTTTTACAACACCATTGTATTATTTACTCTTTTGGACAATAAATTTCATGAAGAGTGGTCAAATTATTTTATAAGTTGATAAATTCTAAGTTTCGTCAAATAATATTTGCAACAAATTTTGGATCTATATTTTGCATAAGTTAGTTGATAGATTCATTCAAACATTGATAATGTTCTATACTAGAGCAAGAATACCATCTTGTCAATTGATCATTTGGGATGTCTTTATAACTATATTAAAATAACATATTTTGTATTCTATCAAATGTAGTAACTATGTTTAATAGTGGCACCAAGCATTCAAAGTAAAATATGAATTATTTAAAATAAGAATTATAAAAAGAATCTAAAAAAAGAAAAAGAAAAAATTTCAAGAATCTTGGAGGCTTTTTGAAAAAAATCATTATTAATACACAACAATTAAGGTTAGTAAAATTTTCCAATAAATAATAAATTTGCAATAATAAGAAGTAATATACATAATGCACATTTGTCAAAAATACAATGTAGAGTCTCAATTTGAATATTAAGAATACAAAGACAACAAACCAAAATAATAATAATAATAATAATAATAATTATTATTATTATTATATATATATTAAATAAAAAATACAAGATAAGAAACAAAATTAGAAATAAGACTAGGAACAAAACAATACTTAAATTGCTCCAAAACTTGTGTTAGAAATATTGAGACACTTCTTTTTTTACCTCCTTACTTATACTATATTATCTAGATTCTACGTAAAATTTTAGAAGATGTTCTAAATCCTTTAGAATATCCTAGAAGCATAAAGAATATATTAAGGATATTTTTAGAATACTAAAAAAAACTCTCTTGTAGTAATAGAAGTCTATAAAAGTTTCTAAGAGATCATAGAAGGTTCTTAGAATCTTTCTAACAACAATAAAAGATTTTATAAGCCTATAAAGTATCCAAAAGGCTTTAAACATTTTTAAAGATTATTAAGAAATAATTTAAGATTGTAGATCATCTAAAAAATTTTAGGATATTCTTTTGGAATTTGATTTGTGAAATGTTCTTACATGAATTCTAAATGATTGTTTTTGAAAAACATAAAACAATAAACAAAAGCACATGTTTTGTATAAGTTTGCACCATTGTTGAGTATGCACATTCAAATTTAAAGTACTGTGGTATATGTTTCCAGAAAGAATATTCATGTAAAATTTCTAAATAATTCTTGGACCAGTTTTGTTGAAGACATGTAGCATGATTTGCAAGCTAAATATCACTTGGATCTTGCCAAGGTTGTTAAACTAGAAATGGCCAGTTTGGGTAACTTCCACAGTGCTCCAGTCACTGAACATACAATGGCAATTTGAGGAGGACTTTTGCTATCTCAATTAGATACGATGAGCATCTGTATTGATGTTTTTGACCATTGCAAAACAGTGCCTGTAATTATAGACCAATTGAAGGTCATGTGTTGATTGTTCTTTTTAAGAATATATTTTTCACATGCTTAGGGTCTTATTTCAGGATCCTCGGTTGAACTTCCTAGGTAACTTTGATACTCAAATCTTCAGGATATAGCACAATACTGACAGTGTTCTCGTTGTCTATTTATTCACTTTTTCTTTTCCTTATCCCTTTTTTATTTTTTAATTTATGTGTAGCAAATGGCGTTGTACGTAATTAGTGACAGGGATACACACAGAGACTATCAAACGAAAGGCTCTCTTTGCGAGCTCCTAGTGCTATGTTTGATTGGTACGGGGCTATAAACAAATGTTGAAGAATTTGTTGAATATGATTGTTATCCAATCTTAACTCAGTCAATCAATCTATTAATCTTGTGAGGTTAATGCGCAGCTTTATTTATGCCACTGGACATGGACTGAAAGTGAACGCCCAAACTATTCCATGATAAAAAGAAGAAAAAAGGATAGATGTCTGATTAGATTGTCATATCACTTCACTACTGCTTCAATTGGAGTACACACCGTGCTGTCTCTGAAAGGGAATGAAAAAGCTAGAGCTTCTAATCATTTGCTACCTTCTGAGAGTTTAAACGAGATGCCGGAATTTGTTATCGTTCTGACATCGATCGAAGATCGAAACCTGTGAACTCAGAGAAGAAGTGAATAGCCACGATGAGACGAGATCAACTCTGGCGGGCAAGTACCAGAATGTATACGTATTATTCCACAAGATCAAATAGGTGTTGAATCTATCTATTATGCACCGTGAAAATATTAGGCACCAAGCTGAAGAAATTCGAGAAAATCGACAAACAACACGAATAGAAGCTAGGGGATTGGGACTGAAAGACACCTCTTTCTCCAACCTGGTCGACTGTTAAGATTGCCTGACAGTCTATACTCTACCATCAGCTCTTGCTTGACAAAGTGTAAGCTGCAAAGGACCGCAGAAGCGTATGAAACATTCTAAGGTATAGATGTCATGGCTAATTATGTAATGAGAAAAACTACCACAATACCGCGCTACAAGATCACGGAGCCTGATGTTATTAATTTCATGAATTGGTCGTAAGGAACTCAGCTCCATGCAAGTCCAGGAGAACATCCTTAACGATTAATGCGGAGTTGAGTTGTGTTTTATGCAATGAGGATAATCAGAAGGAGGACCAGGCAATGTTTCATTAACCCCGTCTCCATTCCTCACTACGAACGCCATTTCCATTCCCCAAGAAAGATGCATTTCCAGGTGGCAATGCAAGAGCCACACGCCTGTAAACATGAAAAAGGATACTTGACATTAATCTAAGTCAGATTTTATAGTATTGACAGATGAGACGTCTCAAATGCAAACTGTCTTCATTGAATGATGCTAGACGGAAATCCATCATGCTCACACAAAAACATAAACATTGCCATAGAAATTGACGAATTCTGCTGAGTGAGCGAGAATAATATGCATCAGTAGCACCAACTCAATGCAGGTAATGTGAAGTTGTGGTTGGAGAATATGCCAAAAATTCAAGAGAAAACATTGTCAATATGCACCTGGGTTGTTAGCTGTCCACCGGATTGCAATCCAACCACCAGCTGGAACGCCTGCTGTGTTACGCTGAGGAGGATCAATGAGATTAAAGGTCAAAGGGTCCAACACTGAGTCGTAATTTCCATAGCCCTCTCCGACAATATAAAAATTGTGCCCATGGAGATGAAATGGATGGACATCGTATTCTAAAAGAAGGGTGTCTTGAAGAACAAGTTGCACATTGTCACCGAAGTTGAGGGTTACCACTTTAGTAGAGTGTCTTGGAGTGGTGTTTGCAGGTACAGTTCCTGTGTAGTTGTAAACATTAATTGGCTTATTAGGAAAACCAATGAACAAACTTCTGACGGGCTGATTCAAGAAAAATGCCTGCAGCAGCGAGGTGTTCCATGGATTGTCAAATGAAATGTTGTTCACCGCCGCTGAGAATCTGCTGTGGTTGACTCCTTGGCAAAGAGCATACGGTGAGCAAGTGTTGTTTGGCTCAAGTGCATAACCAACCGTAAACATCAAATGCCGGTCAACAGCAAGCGGCACAGGATTCTGCTCCCGGGTGATATTAATACTTCTCAGATTGTCTATGAAATTCTGCCGGGGACCCGTATCGTTATGATCTGGTAGTTCTGGAAGTATTGGGGCAACAGAGGATCGATAATCAGGGTACTTCAGTAGTGCGGTGGTTGTGTTCATTGGAATACCCAGATCCTTCAGGGGCACGACTGAGAATACTGTTGCTGCCATATAATACCTTCCTCTGGTCATATTTGTCGACAGAAGAACGTCAGCTGTTTGTCCCGGTGACAGATAAATGAAGTCTGTCGTGTATGGTCGCACATAAGAGGCGTCCAATGCCACAACTGTCAATGAGTGATTTGCTACAGCAAAGTAATAGGAAACCTCCAAAGCTGAATTCACGAGATTAAGTTGGTAAGTTTTTCCGGGGACGACGTTCAGCGTGAAGATATCATCTGCAGACATGAGTAAAGAAAATTACAAAATATACTGCTGCAACTGACAAATCGGAGATACTTTTTGCACCTTCAATTACAGCTGATGAGCGATTGGTTTCCAGTTACAACGACGTTTCAATCAGCGTGATTTATACCAAATTTTGATCCAGAGTTGAACTTCAACATGTACTTGGTTTTTCAAAACGGGTGTGAAGGCCATAGAGAGTCCCCTGGCACTAAGAGGCGGCAAATTCTATAAGTCAGTTTACACAATAGATATGGTGAAATGAAACTGCACATACGTGGCCTTGAATGCTTGTAAAGAGGTCCGGGGTAGCCATTAATAGTTGCAGCATCAGAGACATTAGGAGCAGACCCTTTTCTCATAGCGTTTTCCTCCACGAGCTGAGTGTCTCCATTCCACCATTCACCTACAAGAGTCGACTAGGAATGTTTATCAAAATTTAGAGGAACTTATCTTTTCAGGAGTCTATGACAGCCCAAAACATGATTTAAGTCGTATTTGTTAAGCTGGAATCGAACATCGTATATGTTGGCATCCTACCCTTAACAGCTAGTCTCAATATTCTCAGAGTGGCCGCACAGGTTCAAATGCTCAACGTGTACTCACAGAAAGCTGATTTGACATAGCCTTTGTTAATCAACAAGATCGATCGAAATAGTTGAATTACATTCTTACCATAAATTAGGTACGATTGTGACCTAGAATAGTTATAATCTAAACAGGCTGAGACTGCGATAGTTGGTGACTAAAGGCGTATTCTGTGGTTCCAACATTGAATATGAAAACCAGGAGTGTCGCAGTCACAGTGATCCGTTCACAGAGATAGAGGAGGAGATGTACCAAATATTATTGGAACGGCATAATCAGGCTGAGGATCAAATGGATGTCGTACACCTGGCTTAGGCAAAATCACGATGGCTCCATGCAGAGTTGAGCGCAACCAGCTGATATGAGCGTGCCAGAGGAGAGTGCCTACTTGGCCAGTAATTGTGAAGTCATGATTATATGACTTTCCTGACCTTATTGGGCATTGCGTGATGTAGGCAGTTCCATCTGCCCAGCATGATAGAAATTGTCGAACCCCATGCCTGCACAGAAGAAAGTGTTGTTGCATCAATCTATGTATCCATTATTTTACACAACGATAATATCATAGAGGGATCCAGCTCAATTGACTCATTTCATTTCCTGCACACTTGATCACTCAACTCCATTATTTTCTCAAATCAATTATTTACTCAAATCCTGTTCAATCTACTTCAAGGTTACGGCAAATCAAAAACAAAACAAAAAAATCGTCATTGATTATTTTCAAAACTCAATTCAATAAGAATTCGTAGCGGATGAATTTTGTCAAAATTTCACTAGTTAAGCTGATAGTTGGACTCAACCTTAGCAAATCGGCACCGCAATACAAACTAAGTGACGATTTCTTTTCACTTCGTTTGTTCATGTGAGAACAGCGGTCTTGAATATTTGCAAGCACCCTTTCTGTCTGCTGTTGTGAGCTAAAACAAATGCCGATCGACTCATTTCGAATGTCATTCACGCAGGGTTTTAGAAATGGACTAAGTTTCAAGAAGCACCTAAAACAAGTTCACAGACTCAAGTGAATTCACACTTACCAATGGATTGCAACATCTTCAGTTATGTTATTAGTGACTTTGATTATCAATCGGTCGCCTTCATAAGCATAGACAGGAGGACCTGGAAATTTCCCGTTCACAGCTATCAAGCGCTTGGTAGTGTTCAGGCGTCGAACGTTGATATAACCAACCTACAACATATGTCCAGTTCGTGAGGCAGAGATACAAATCGAGGCTGGATCTCACGAGCTGAGCGATCATAAGATTCGAAACATTTATTTTACTGGCAACAGCATGTGAGATGCGAGGTTGGAGGACAATAGTCAACGGTAAAGTTAAACTACTGTCGTGAATGAACTTGCTGGATCTCAACATTATTTCACTCTTTCGCATAGGCCATAGGAAAGTTTGATAATCAAACAATTTACATTCCAACCTCACAGCTTAATTAAAATCGATTCCAAGTCCAGGTAAACTCTCGAACAGCACCATACCGTAAAATGGATGTGCTTCGTAGTATCGTTCGAAGCCAAAGATGAAATTGCATACGAAGGATGGTGGTGGTGGTGGTGGTGGTGGCTTCCACAGGAAACGTTCGATGTATAAAGAAGAAGCGGCATCAACAGAAAAATAATGAAGACCATTTTGCCACACATTTCACTGTTCTAACACTCGGAGCTCTCAACAAGATACTGAGAACGACTCCCAGAACGATCCAGATGAGCGTTGTCAAGCTATTTCTAAACGCTCACTTATGTAAGAACGTCCGAAGGTCCATTCCGTTTCCTTCTGACTGGGAAGAATCTGCTTGACGACGCCAAACTTCAAATAATCCCCTGCTCCAACAAGCAATGAGTGGCAATATGCTGATATAGTCAGATAGAACAATTAACAGTGTGAGTCATTTTTCAATGAGTCTAAAGCTTTTGGCATATAAGCGGATTCCTACCTGACTTCTCACTGGTTCTCACATGGTTCAATTTTATAAATGCGTACAAGCTATGCGCTCCAACCAAAATTATTAAATTCACCAAAAGATAAAGTGGCACCAGCCCTTTGTGCACAGAGCCGTGAAACCGGGGTAATCAATCTGGAAGGACGAAAACCTGGAAAACGATCTCCAATTGTTTACTGCTGTGATTCGACCACTAAACGGCAGCCCTGAGCACTAAAGCCTCTCTGCATCTTTACGACTTGTTTCAAGTTCAGATCTAGCCACGGAAAAAATATTCACGACACTTGTGTGCGTAACTACCAGCAGATAGCGTCTGCGTTAATTCTCAAAGCGATACCGGTAAAATTAATAGCCAGCACAATATTGCGGAATCCGCCGTGCTGTCAGGTGATCTTCCATACGTCCTACATTTCTAGTGATGAAATGCATGACTTTAAACCAGCATTTTCGATACATACAGCGACATTCTGAAACCTTTCAACGTCCGATCCTCCAATCCTAATAGATATCAAGTCCGGCAGCTAGTCAGTACACCCAAACGCCTATTCGAAATCAATCAACCGACGAAAAGCACACAAAAAATCGATCACTTCACAATTCATGTTAGGCTGTGTCCGGCGGGACAAATGACGGTGCTGCAATGTTATTCCGGCAATATTTTGTTGCAAAGAGAGGCAATGTTACGTGACGTAGGGCGGGCTACAAGTAGAGAGAGCAGCCACAGGTGCTGAAGTGCACGACTATGCTTGAGCGGGAGTCTAACAGCCAGAGTCGTGCAAAGCTTTTAAGGATTCAAACCTGTCACGAGACCATTTCTCATGGCGCTCAACAAGTCTCAAAATATCCTGAACAGAGCTAGTTCACACTAATGGGACGAGCATTCGGGATTGAGCGGGGTGTGAACTTTAACTCCTAATTAAAGTTTTGTATTAAAGTTAAACTTAATTAAAATGATCAAAATCACATAACATGTGTAGATATATAAAATACTTCAGGACGTAAAATTTATAGCAAATAACTTACAAATTTTCAGTTTAATAAACACAAAACTAGCATTTGAAAAATGAAGTGATATCTGAATTAAATTTAAAATATCAGATATTATCATTGTGATTTTAGATTTTTTACAAAGTACTTTGTACATATGGGCTTTTTGCAATATTGACCATTTGAAGAATTCACAAATTTATTACTTTGCTTGGTATTTGTTATAGCTTAAGTTTCACCTAGAATCTCTTTTTACGAAAATAGTTTTACAAATAACTTACAAGCATGCATAAATCCTTACAATGTTTTTTCGACATTAGCCATGCTGTTTTTAAGACTTTGCCACAAGCTCAAAAGCATCCATGTATTACTCTTATATATGTTTATATATACAAATAAATATCTAATTAAGTAATTTTTTTCAATGAATCTCCATTCTTTCATCACACTTTTAATTGTGTTTTTATGTAACATATTGATATATTTGGTCTAAAATCGTTTAATGAATTTTCAATAGATTTTATTACCTTTTATTGTAACTAACTAAATATTTTAAACACTGATAATTTATAATTACTATTATAAATGCTTAATATTATTACTATAATAATATTAAGTTACATTGAATACAAAAAATAAGTATAATATTATGCACTACATTCTATAACATTTGATATTTAATTTCAAAAATATAATATCAAATTATTTTTATTAAAAAAATTGAGAAAATTTTAAAATTTTAATTTTATACAACTGTTTTCATATATCACTTATCATTTTAAAATAGAATATCTAAATATATTTAAAATATTTGAGAATTAAGAAAATTTTGAATTCTTAAGAGAGAATCGGTTTAATATTATTATATACCAAAGTAATATTAATTTAAAAACAAAATCTACATGCCACATATTAATGTAGCTGCTAAAAAGTATTTAGCACTTATAAACTACTATCTTTTTATTTTTAAATTAAATAATAATACCAATATTTATTATTTTATGTTTTATAAAATTAATATTATAATTCGGTAATTTCACATATAATATTTTTCTATAATTATTTAATTAGTTATTATTTATTCAAGAGTATGAAAGATAGTCATATTTTCTTAAATTCTTCTTATGGATTATATTAATTGAATAAGATCTAAACTATAATACAATAATAAGGTAATATGTTGTTTCTTTATTTTATAAAATATTATACAATTATCATAAGTCATAAGCATGCAAAGTTAACAAGTTATTCTCTTTGAAAGAAAATTCTATAAATTTTGTAAATGACAGAGTGTTTTCTTGATTTTATAAAACATAGGAGATTTCATTTTGATTCATCTTATATTTTAATTATTTTTCAAATTTGTGTATATGTTTATTCTGATGTATATATATATATATATATATATATATATCACACACTTCAATTAAAAAAATTGAAACACTAATAAATTATATATATATATATATATAGTAAAAAAATCTTAGATAAAAAACATAAAATTAGGTGTATAATTTTTTTGTATATTCATTCTTAAAATTTTAAATAGAGGAATTATTTGTGTGTGTTTTTTTTTATTGAATTTGTTTTGAAAAAAAATAAAAATTGAAAAAATAGAAATTATATATATTAGAAAAAAGAGCATTTTTGAAGTAAAATAATACAAAGTCTAATACTGAACTAATTGACATTGAAAAAATCTTATTTTTTGAAATCTAAAATATCTTTAATTAATTTTTTTTGTATAATTTTTTTGAATAAATTAAATATTCAGAAGTTAGGATGAATTCTGTAAAATATACTTAATGTTTATTTATTCACGCCTTATATAAATCTAACAAAACATATTTGTAAGAAAAAATTTAACTCCAAAAATATCAGAACTAAATAAGGATTGCTTTTACACTTAAATGGTATTTTATATGCATGCACATTACCTAAGTTTCTTCAAAAATATCACAAACTTAGCTATATTAAACTATAAAGTTGGTTTCTATAAATTATTAATAGGAATAAATGTAAAAATTTCCAGAAACTACTTTACAATCATATAATACATTCACAAGAGCAAAGATGCTTAAATTTCATCTTTTAAACTATTTTTACTTCTTATTTTTATAAATTTCTATACATTTTATATCTTTTAAGTGTATTATTATTATTATTATTATTTTATACCTTAAATTTTTTATTTTAAAGACCATAAATTATTAATATTTATTGGTAAATTATATGTTAGGCAACAAAAAATTAAGATATACAACCATTTCAATTTATTTTTGACAATATATGTTGCATCTATAAACTTCTAAAAGATGTATAATATAATTTATAAAATTTATTCATTTTTAATTCTTAAAATGGTTCTCTGAAATATCAATGAGAAATAATAATTTTTTTAATATATATTATACATCAAAAGAAAAATAAAAAACAATAAATCTATTGTTTCTAAAGAATAATATTCTAATTTAAAAAAATATATAATTCTAATTACAAGTTTTATACAAACATAAAAATAATTTTTATATACAAATATTTGAGATAATTGATGTTTTAATGGAACAAAATATACACAAAATAAAGTAGACACAAAATCATAGATGCACAAAGAATTTAACACAATATATTGTTGTTTTTACCAAGATTTAAGTGAACAAAAAAATAATTGTGATTTTATCATAACAAGCACTAAGGTTACCAAACCTTTAAAACATTCCTAAAAAATATTTGAAACATCCAATAAATATAGCATATATTTTATATATTAACTAACCATCATTCTATTTTGTACTACATCTTAATGTATGTTTTTCCAACAAACTTATTTAATAAGTGAGAAATTAAAAAAATAAAATACTACTAGTTTTATTAACATAATTTTTTACATTCATTCTTATATCTTTCTTTTTATTAGTGAAAATCATCATACTATTGATAATAATATTTCATATGCAATAATATCAAATGTTTGTGTGTTTTGCTCTGAAACGATGTATTTGATTTTTTTTCCAAATACATAATGCTTCAACTTTTACTATGTTGTAAAGTCTAATTTTACTGAAATTGTGCTTACTATCAAATATCTTTAACCACATTACTTATTTAGTTGTTTTTGTAACAACCATATATTTTTCTCTATTTGCTCACAATATTGTGGTAGATTAAAAAAAAATAACTTTTGACTTGAGATTTTACCAACAATTATGAAGAGATATCATGTCATGGATCTCCTCTTGTCTAAGTCTCTAATAAAATCAACACAAAAAATTTAATAAATTTTCTTCTACTTTTATGTTTTGCATTAAAAATGATTCAAACATTCACAATTTGTTTTAATTAGCATTGTATGTACTTCACTACTTTCTAGTGTCTTGTAAGGCCCCTCAGGTGATGGTTTCAGTCAAAATTGTGGCTGGTCTACTGCACTCCATGTTTAAGTTTGTCCCTGCTGTAGTTGTGGCCCCTTGAAATTGTGATTCATGTCTTAGCTTTCTCACACTTTTCCAGCTTCTAATGCCTTCTTGTTTCCTGGAATGGGCCTCTCTCTTTTCAGAAGCATTGTCCAGGTTTTGTTGTCCAAGCACATGGACTTGTCCAAGTTTAATTGACCAATTGCCACAAAAGCTTGTCCCACTTGAGGTACAGCTGAGATGAAATTCCAGAGAATAAAAGCCTGTGTCCATGTCTAGTTTTAACTTTACTTTATTTTTGTTGCAAATTCTTTCCATTCAAGGGGGAAACTAATGCAATCATTCTCCCATTGCCCTTTTTAAATTATTGGTTTGGAGTCTAAAAAACAGCATCTTGTTATGCTTCTGCCTTGGGATTTCTGTATACAATTGTTATGTGTGTGTGAGTACAATGTATATACGGACCCACAATGATGGAAGACAAACACTCCTCACCCACCTGTTGGTGAATTGGTATTGAGGATGAAACAGTCGAGATCAATAGTATTCCTATATTAGTATAGCATGAAGTTACATTCATCCAGTTGCCTTTAAGAAAAGAGGTGTGTAAATTAAACTATAATCTTGGATTATGTGTGTGCTTGCCTCTTACTCACATCCTCAAATGTGAGGACAAAATCACAAATGCTCACTTCAGATAAAATATTAATGGTGCTATTAAGGGAAATAAATGGAGGGAATTTGTTTGAGTTGAATGTATGAGATGTCCAAAAAATTCATGATCTCCCTTGTCACAAATCCTTATATCAGTATAATGTATAGTTTGTTTTAAAGCCATTCATGCAGTGTTCTATTTACTACTTTACAATGTACGCCTTTTCAAAAACATAGCATGATGCTTTGTAACCATGGCAAGATTGCAAATTAAAAAATTATCCTAATAAGAAAATGAAGAATATGCAGAAGCAACAACTCCAAGACAAAAAGCATGCTGTACCATAAGACAAAGACTAAAAGAATCACAATACCTTTTAGAATATGTTATTTGCTAAATCACTTAGCAACATTATTTGCATCAACCTCACTAGTTTATAATTTTTACCACCGTTCTCTGCCCTTTTTTTTTTATTCTATATTCTGATATGAAAACTGAGACATTTAATTTTTTTTATTAATCATTGATTGTAATATTAATGATTAATCTATCATTGATTTGATCAATTTATAGAAGAAATATACATTAGCATATATAAAATCTAAGATATTTAAAATTTTAACTTTCATTTTAATAAAACTGAATATTCCTAAAAAATAATACTTCCAAAAATACACACATTAAACTAAACAAAACTCCATAAGCTATATTTCTTATTAACATATAAAATATTTGATTGTCA